GTGGGGCGCTGGGTACAGCAGACAGCTGCTGAAGTGCCCAGCCCCCCCGGGCGCTGCCAGCCAGCCCACCTTGTCGAAGCACACGAGCCGCAGCTTGCCTCCCAGGTTGATGCGCAGCGGATGGATGCAGAAGATGCCCTGTGCCCGCAGCCGACTCTGGGCGTAGAGCGTGCACACGGTCATGGCGGCTGGCAGTGCGGGCGGCACCACCACTGTCACCAAGTCCAGGGCTCGGATCACGATCTCGTTCACAGGCACCTGGTGAGAAGCACCGTGAACTCGGAGCCAGGCTGGGTTAGGGCCCGAGAGCTGGTGGTCCCGCCCGGCCTCCGGCTTACCCGGTTGCGGTAGAGAATGATGACGCTGTAGATGGTGCCAAGCAGAGCTGGGGAGACAGCAAACGTAAGCCGGACGCCCGACCCACCCGGGCTGGCCCTGGCAGCAGAGGGAGGCAGGCAGCCACTCACCCAGCACAGACAAAGCTGCCACAAACTTCATGCTGTGTTTGTAGAACTTGAAGCTGATCGGTCTGGGGTGCAGGATAGAGCTCACCAGACCCCCTTTGGCTGTGCAGAACCCTGAGGGCAGACAGGGAGCCAAGGGAGGACAGGGGGATGAGGGCAAGCTCCTCCCACTCCCCCCCCAACAGCCTGTACCCTGGGGTGATGACATCCACAGGGCCAGCCATCATCTGGACTGGGGTCACAGATGACAACTCACAAGGCTTGCCCAACCCCCACAGAAGATTTTTTTGCCTTTTTTTTTTTTTTTAATTATTGTTTTCTTCCTGTGGTTCTGGGATTGAACCCTCATTCTGCTAGGCAAGTACCCTACTGAGTATCTTTGTAGTTTTCCGCAGCACTTTTTACTTCTTATTCTGACAGGGGAGGTTGGGGGAGGAGAGGTCTCACTAGATTGCCCAGGCTGGACCTCAACTTTCGATCCTTCAGCTTCCATTTCTCAAGCAGCTGAAATTATAAGTGTGCAGCCCCCGTAGAATTTTATTTTAGGCAGGGTCTCCCTATGTAGACCCTGCTGGCCTAGAACCTCCTCTATAGACAACGCTGGCCTCAAACTCAGAGATCCACCTGCCTCTGCCTCCCAGGTGCTGGGATTAAAGGCGAGCCACCAGCAGCTGCTGGGTGAGTCCGCCCACAGGGTTAATGGACAGCCTCTCAAATGGGTGTCTTTATTTACAATGAAAACACGACCAAGCACATGCCCCCCCCACACACACACAGGAGGATGCCTACAAGCACTGGAAGCTTGCTTACAGTCTGCCCAGCTTCTGATACAATGAGGACATGAGGGCCAGAGGGATGGCTCAGCAGTTAGGAGTACTGGCAGCTCTTCCACAGGACCTAAGTTCATTTCCCAGCACTCACATGGCAGCTCACAACCATCTTTAACCCCAGTTCCAAAAGATCCCGTGCCCTCTTCTGGACTCTGCAGGTACCAGCATGCATATACACAAACAAATATACAGCAAAACCCCCCCACACAGAAAATAAATAACAAATAAATAAATAGGTGGGACATAAAGGCTCAACGGTGGACTAGTAAGACCCCCACAGTGACAGAGCTGGGGGGCGGCTGGGCTCCAGCTCCTCCCCACCTCCAGATATGTACCTGTCCGGGTCACCACTGCTAGGACCCGGGGCCCCAGGTAGGCGCGGGCCTGCAGAACGAGGGTCCCACAGAAGACTGTGTGCCGCCGATGGGTCTCTGGGCAGTAGGGCTTGGGCCCCTCTGGCAGGGCTGTCTTCAGCACTGGGATGCTCTCCCCTGGGAGGGACATGGTGTGATATCCACGAGGGGTCCTCAGGGCACTCCCTCCCAGCCACAGAGCTAAGTGCTGCCCACCGCTGTTCCAAAGCTACACTTAACTCTGTAACTGGGGGGTAGCGAGAGGGAAATAGGCCAGAGAGGGCAATTGAGACCGGGAGACAATCCAGAGGGCAGGCAGCCTATTACTGGGAACCTCCTTTGGGTAGTTGGGCCAGCTAGTGAAAATTATGTGGACATATTGGGGGGCCAAGGTTTGGGGAGCCCTTCTCCCAGAGTTAGTTCACAACAAACACATTATTTTTATGGATTTTAGTCAGGACTTGCTATGTAACGAGGCTGGCCTCGAACTTCTGATCTTCCTGACTTAGCTTTCAGAGTCCTGGAATTACCGGTGTGAGCCACCAAACTTGGCCACGTCTTACTTTTTGTGTTGTTTTGAGACAAGGGCCTCCCAACACAGACCAGACTGGCCTCAAACTCACAGATCCACCTGAGTGGACCCGCCTCTGCTTCCTGAGTGCTGGCATTAAAGATGTGTGCCACCACGCTCAGTTCATATCTACCTAATAAGGACATCTGCGAGGGGGATGTTGTCAGCTCCACAAAGCCCTGGGCAGCCTGCCTGGCAAAGCAGAATCCTTTACGGAGTTTCTGTGAGCACAGGCTTACTGGACAGCTACGGCATGCATATTTCTAGGGGGCTCCAGGGCGGCCCAGGCTGTGTCTGCCCTAAAATGAGGGAGGTGTGGGACAGTCCATGAGGGCCAGAGGCCAGAAGGCTTTTTTATTTTTATTTATTTTTTGATACATAATCTCATATAGCCCAGCCTAGCCTCAAACTTACTATCTAGACGATGACCTTAAACTACTGATCCCTCCTGCCCAAGTATAGAGATTACCTGTGTATGCCACCATGCCTAGTCCTTTTGCTCATTTTTGAGAGTTTTTTTTAATAATTTATTTTTATTTTATGTACATTGGTGTTCTGCCTGAATGTATGTCTGTGTGAGGGTGTCAGATCCCTTGGAACTACAGTTACAGACAGTTGTGAGCTGCATGTGGGCGCTGGGAATTGAATCCAGGTCCTCTGGAAGAATAGCCAGTGCTCTTAACTACTGAGCCATCTCTCCAGCCCATTTCTGAGGGTTTTGTGGTTGTTTTGAATTGGAGTCTCATCATGTAGTCTAGGCTAGACTCAAACTTGAGGTGACCCTGCTTCTTCGTCCTGAATGCTGGGATTATACTCATGTTGGCTTTCATTAGCTTATTATAAAGGCAAAACTCAAAGCTGGGCGTGGAGGTACAGAGCCTGTAATCCTAGCTTTTCAAGAGGCTGAGGCAGGAGGATTACAAGTTTCAAGTCTGCTAGGACTACAGAGTAAATTCAAGGCCAGCCTGGGCAACTCTGGATGAAGTGGAAAGAGGAAACAAAGCAATGAAAGTGGTGAGCTACACCACTGAGTGTAGCTCAGTGGTGGAGTACTGCCTAACCCATTGTGGTTTGAGTGAACAGGGGCTCACAGGTTTGAATACTTGGGTCCTCAGTTGGTGGAACTGTTTGGGAGGGATTAGGAGGTGTGGCCTGGTTGGAGGTGAGCTTTGAGGTTTCAAAAGACTCCAGCCATTCGTTAGCTCTCTCTCTCTCTCTGCCTCCTACTTGTAGATCAAGATGTGAACTCGCATCTAGGCCTGCCACCGCGCCTTGCCCTGGCGTCATGGACTCCAACCCCCTGGAGACGAGAGCTCAATTAAACACTTTCTTTTATAGTTGGCTTGGTCAGGGTGTTTCGTCACTGCAATAGAAAAGTGACTAAGGGAGCCAGGTGTGGTAACGCACGCCTTTGATCTCAGCACTCACTCGGAAGGCAGGGGCAGGAGGGGCTCTGTGAGCTGAAGGCCAACCGGGTCTATGAGACAGTTCCAGGACAGCCAGGTCTACACAGAGAAATGCTGTCTGGAAAAACCAAAAAAGAAAAAGAAAAAAGGAAGGAAAAGAAAAGTGACTAAGATTAAGACACAGGCGAGATGAGGCCCTGGACTGCACAGCTAGTGCCATACACCACCAAACACGAAAACAACCACAAACCACAAGCCAGAACTTTCCTTGGAAACGACCACCCACACACTTTTCATACTTTTAGCTCAGGCTGGACTGGACCTAGTGATCCTCCTGCCTCAGCCCCCCGAGTGCTGAGATCACAGGTGTGAGCCCCTGCACCAGGCCACTGCACTGACCTTATAAACGCCGAGAGAAGCACAGGTAAGGCTGCTCACAGCGGCACGGTCTGCACTGCACACATCAGGGCCCACCCGTCCCCGCCACCCTGCACCGTGGCTGTCTCCTACACACGTGTGGACAAGCGCCCACAGCATGGGGAGCAGACCGGAACAGGATAGTGAGCCCACGTACACAGCTGAAGGTGCTGTAGTAGCACATGTGGAAGAGACGTGGGTACACGAAGGGACCCTGCTTCATGCGCCACATCCTCCTGCGTGGTGGAGAATGTAAGCCACCTGACAGATGCTGACAGAGAGTTACGCATACCACTGGCAACCACATTTTACAGCTGGGGAAACTGAGGCATAGTGTTTAAAGGCAGAGGGGTTAGCAAGTGCCAAGCCAGGCGGGCTCACCTGTCAGGGAGCTCTCATTGACCAGACACTCGCCAGCCACCAGCACGGCATCGCATGGCATCACCCCGCCCTCCTGGGGCAGCACCAGGCAGTCTCCGGGCACCAGCTCACTGGAGTCCACCCACTCTTCCTCTGTGGATAGGTGGGGTTCAGTGAGGGTCAGCTGCCCTGCTGCCCTACACCCTGTCCCCCAGGCTCCTTCCTCCCTGCTCCTCACCTCCCTCTCTCCCCCAGCCTCCCTCCTCCCTGCTCCTCACCTCTCCCTATGCTCCCAGCCTCTCTCCTCCCTGCTCCTTACCTCCTCCAGGCCGGCACACCTGCACCCGCACGGACAGCTTGACCATGTCTCTCAGAGTCACGCTTTGCTGTGGGACGGAGGGATGAGGAGTGCTGAGTGGGTGGCAGCCCCTTGGGGATGCCCTGTTGAGCGCCGCCAGGCCGCTTACTCTCACCTTTCTGGTTTTGTACAGAGCCAGGCAGATAGAGATGGCGGAGATGAGGAAGATGCAGAGGGCATACCAGTAGTAGTGGTCGGCCAGCCACAGCGCGATGCTGAAGGCTTGGAAGCCGTAGTAGGGGTTCAGTGCCTGGTGGAGGGGGAGGAGACAGCATAAGCACCACATCCCCGGGGCAGCCCGGCTACTGCAGACAGAGCTGGGAGGCCGCCCCGAGCAAAGCTGAGGCAGTCTCCTGCCTAGGCCCCGTCCCAGTCCCAACCCCTGCTACCTGACAGCCCCCGAGCTGCATTTGTCCCCAGACTGGCCAGACCCCTGCTATGTTTTTTCAGTGCCACACAGTGGTGAGGACAGTTCCACAAGGTGGCGCTCCCACTGAGTGAGGCACAGGAGGGCTAAGTCACTGGCCTGAACCCACGCAGTGCTGGACTGGCAGGCTGCGCTTTGTAGAGGGCTGGGACACGATTTCCGAGCAGAGGTGAGCCCTTTGACTATGTGTGACCTTGGCGGTATCCTGCCCTGCCCAGAGGCCTGGGCTGCTCCTGGCTGAGCAGACTGTACAGTCCTTATTCAGGGGCTGACAGCCGGAAGCCACAGGACAAGAGTAGGGCTGGCTCTGGGGCAGGCCTCGTAGCTCGAGGCTGAGCTTGACTCTGGGGCTCTGCCTCTGGCCCCTGCAGGCTAGGCCCTTCCTTTGGCCGAGGCTCCCAATGGACCCTCTCCATCCTTAACCTGGTATGTTTGGCTGAGGAGCCTAGGGTCTGAGATTGCTTGTCTTTGACCCCTACTCAGATAAGCTGCTGTGGGTGACACCAGGGTCCTTTACCTCATCCACTAGTAGCTGCAGGTAGGACTTGACAGGAATGCTGATCACGTTGGGGCCGTAAACAGTCTTCCTGTAAGGGAGGCCAGCGAACTGTGCCAGGGTGTCAGAGACCCCTTTCCACTGGGCAAACCAACACCACGCCCCGAGGAGGCACCAACTGGAAGACGGGAGCATGGAAGGAGGAGCAGGATGTGGGCCCAAGGCCAGGGCAGCACATGCCTCATAGCTTGGTCCTGAAGGCTGAGGCCGGAGCGGGAGCAGTGGATATCATCACAGGTGCGGCCGTGGTCCAGCAGGCTGACGAGGGTGGGGAGGGAACACCGTGTGTGTGATGGGGCCTGAGCTCTGAACCCCGTCCTCCGCAGGCTGTCAGGCCCCCTTGGTCACCCTGAGGAGCGAGCTCAACTTATCCATTCCTGTGACTAGGCCACCAACCACCTCTCTACAGAAGGATAGCACTGGGGCGATGGGTAGACTATGGTCAGTGACAGAAACATTATTTACACACTTGATGCCTTCACCTCTCTGTGCCTCTGTTTTCTCATCTGTGAAACGGGAGCAGCAGACACACCCACCTCATGGGTCTGTGGGTGGCCGAGATGATGCCAATGCTAAGCGACAAGCATGGCAGCGAGTTTGTTCCTGTGGCTGCCATGCAGCAAAGGCTGGTGGCGCCCCTCTTCCCCTGCAAACACCCAAGCTTACCCGAGGACGGTCCTGGCCGTGTGAGGATAAGATGGATGAGGGGCAAAAAGACCCACGTGTGGCTGAATCTACCTCCCCAGGGGCAGCACACAGCCCTCACGATTGGGAGCCAAAGGGTCATGACTCCACCATCCCTGAGGTACATGCCCCGCACTGTCAAGAATATCCCTGGCATTCTTGGTCTGGCACCTTCCACTGCCACTTCCCCAGTGCCATCACAGTCTAGACCAAAGCTTCCTTCACCCTCATCTGGAACACTCTGCTTCTAGGGGACTCAACTCAAGCACGCCATGGGAGTCCGAGCCTGGGGTGTGGTACCTGTCAGGGACCTTAAATGACCCTATGAGATGAGACATACCCTCACCCCCTCTTACAGGAAGCAGCTCCCAGCTGAGAGGCTTAATGAGCTGCCCAACGTTTCAGAGCAGCGGAGGGTAGGCTGGGTTAGGCCAGCCCCATCATGCACAACCCTCCCTGCTAAAGATTGTTGTGCCGTGCCTGGGGCCGCTACCTGACTTGGCAGAAGGCTTGCTGGGTCTCCATCCAGACATAGCGTTGGCCTTGGAGGAGGTAATAGCGCAGCACCTGCTTCTGGGTGGGAGAGGAGAGCCCAGTGGGAGGTGGCCTGGCATCAGGAGGCATCCACCAGAGGGTGGGGTGGATACAGGGATAGCATCCCAGACACAGAGCCAGTGGGACAAAGAGAACCCTGAGCCCAGGCCTCCCACACAGTGTGTGACCCGGATGCCCAGAGATGGGCAAGGCCGGGTCTAGAGCCCGCCTGGCCACTCACTGTCTCCTTCTGCCTGTAGAGCTGGGTGGTGTCTTCCCATGTGCCCTCTGGTACCACTCCCACAGCCGCCTGGCTCCGGCCATCCTCTCCCTGGGCCTGTGGAGGCAGCTCCAGGCTGGGGACAGTTTGGGAGTTACTCTGAAGCTCTGAGAGTGGCCCAAACCTCCCATTCCTCCCTGGGAAGGGACACCCGCTGTCTCACCTGCCCCCGCCAACAGCCGCAGTCTGCACCTGGACTGTGAAGAGCTGCCGGGAGCTACCCTGGAATACAGTGTGACTTCAACCTTGTGAGACCCCGCCCTCCCCCAATCCTTCCAGGCCAGTCCCACGGCCAGAGGCAAAGCTGGAGTCATTCAGGAAGTGGGAACCTCAGTTGGGACAAATGCCCCATTAGACTGGCCTGTGGAACATTGTCTTGATTAATGAGTGTGTGGGCGGGCGCAGCCCACTGGGGACAGTGCCACCCCTGGGCCTGTGCTCCTTGAGGGTAGAAGAGAGCACAGTGAGCTGAGCGAGCTCTGGGGACAAGCTGGTAAGCATGGTGCTTCTGCTTCCGTTTCTGGCCTCCAGGTTCCTCCTTGAGTTCTGGCTGAGATTTCCCTTGCTGATGGACTGTGATGTGGGAGTGAGCTAGACCTTCTCTTCCCCAAACTGCCTTTTGGTCAGGGCGTTTATCAGAGCAATAGAGACCCTAACTAAAGCCCCCATTTAGAGCCATCTCCAGCTCCGTAACGTCTTATTTAAGTGGCTTTGATTAAAAAAACTAATAAAGTATTTTCCTTTCTTTGTTTTGTTTTGTTTTGTTTTTCAAGATAGGGTTTCCCTGTGTAGCCTTGGCTGTCCTGGACTTGCTTTGTAGACCAGGCTGGCCTCAAACTCAGAGATCCGCCAGCCTCTGCCTCCCCAAGTGCTGGGATCACAGATGTGTGCCACCGTGCCTGGCAAAAAAAATGTTTTCTAAAAAAAAAAAAAAAAAAAAAAAAAAAAGCTGCAGCCTAGCGGGGGCCACACCTGTCCATCTCTGTCCACTACCCAGACTGGGGTGCTGAAGCACAAACAGGGGGACAAAGGCTTGCCTCCTGCCCACCTACCTCCAGAGGCCAGCGATGGTTGGGCTGAACACCCCACTAGCCCTTCACCCTTCCCTGCCCCAGGTGGTCCCACTCACCTCTTTGTCTTTTATTTCTATAACGAGTGTTTCGGCGTGGGCCAGGCTGCATGGCCTCAGGCGCAGGCGCACGCCCCACGAGGGCTTCCAGCGGAATAGCAGCCAAGGGATCCCGGCCAGCATCCAGACCGCGGCGTGATAGCCGATGGCCCTCCATGGACTGCCACAGTAGCCGCTGAGCTTCTGTGGGTGCAGGCCACAGAGCCGCTGAAGCAGGGGCAGGGCGAATGCCAGAGGCCTGGGGCGGGCCGAGGGCCACTCCACCCACCAGCTCTACCTACCACGAATGAAACTGAGGAGCTGTGGGGATCGATTGATGTCCCTGTCATCAGGGTCCCATAGCTGGGGGGGCGTGCTGCCCAGGAGCAGGCTGCTGTCTGTGAACAGAAAGCAGAAAGGTCGCAGAATGGACCACACATTGGTTTTTCTGGTTTTCAGTGCTGGGTGGAACCCAGGCCCTCACAGTGCCAGACAAGCACACCCCAGCACCAGGCCACACCCCCAGGCCTCCTCTTCCTTCTGAAGCCTGGCAAGCCTGGTCACTCTGTGCCTGTGAACTGACTGATCCTGTCAGGGGCTGGGACAAGCACCAGGGTTCTGGGGTGGCTCCCCCCTTCCTCTCACCTCCCCATCTGCAGGGCTGTGGTCCCAGCAGGGCAGGAGTGCTTCTCCAAGTTTCCGGTAAGTCCACCTCTTCCTCTCGCAGCTGCTATAGTCACAGCACCCTTACTTCTCAGTCCCTTACTCTCACTGCTCAGCCCCTAAAGGTGAGGCTCCTGCCGTGTCTCCCAGACCATTAGAGTCCTGACCAGCTGGGCGGGGCTTGTTGTTCATCCTTAAGGCTCGATGGCTAATCATGTGTGGCCTCAGGTATCTCGCCATTTTATTCTTCATTATTTATTTTGTGTGTAGGTGTGCTTTGTGTGAGCGCGTACAGGCTCAGGTGTACACGCACACCGGATGTTGACATTGGGAATCTGACTCTTATTCTTCTTACTTCATTTGAGACTGGGTCTCTCCCTGAACCCACAGCTCCCCGATTAGTCTAAGGCTGGCTGGCTGCGGAGTGGCCTGAGGAGCCACCTGCCTCTGTGCCCAGAGCACTGGAATTTCAGATGTGTGCCACCACGCCCAGCTTGTTTGATGTTGCGCAGGGGAATCCCAGCTCAGGTCCTCATGCTTGCACAGCAAGCAAGCACTTCACCTACTGAGTCATCTTCCCAGCCTCCTCTCTCCACTTGAAAGGAAAAGGAGAGGTGAAGTAACTCGCCCAAGTTTGCACAACGATGATATGGGAGCTCTGGGAAGCAAGCCCAAACAGGCTGCTTCCAGCCTGGCTTTGTTTTTGAAATTAAACAATGGATTTATTGGTCTCGTATAAAGACAAATCTAGGCCAGGCGGTGGTGGCACACACCTTTAGTCCCAGCACTTGGGAAGCAGAAACAGGTGAATCTATTGAGTTCGAGGCCAGCCTGGTCTACAGAGGGAGTTCCAGGATAGCCAGGGCTACACAAAGAAGCCCTGTTTGGAAAAAAACAAAACAAAGAGATAAGTCTGAGCATGGCAACCAGGACTGAAGGAAGAATTCACTCTCACGCACCAGAAGCCATTCTTAATCCCAGGACAGACGCCCACACATAGGAACTGGGGTTAGGGCACTGGGCAGGGCCAGAGAGCCTGAGTACTGGGCTTTCACACCTACAGGGAACAGCCAGTAACTGATGTGCGCTGCGCCACCTGAGTTCTCTTTCAGTTGAGGACCCAGAAGACAGCTGAACTAGAGTCCACCAGTGGGCCCTCTCCAACCTTCCACAGGAAAAAGAAATGACTGACAGTGCCCTGTGCTCCAGGAAGGAGCTGCCCTCAGGGGAACCCACAGATAGACAGACAGACCCTGCCATGAGGGTGGAGCCAGCCAGGAAGAACATCATTTCTTTCCTTTGTCCCCAAGGAACACAGGGAAGCTGAACTCAGGCCAGGAGGCTCAGCAGGAGGTTCTCAGGTCCTTGCCCACCAGCAGCTACGTGCCAATTGCCTTTTCTGCTAGAGCCCTTCATCTGCCTACAATGCCAGGTTCCCCCACTCCCCAGATGGCTGGGAAACAGCATCTCAGCGGCTCCAAGGCCAACCAAGCTGTAGTCAGCTGTTTATTCCTCCACACAACCCTACCCAGTAGGTAGTACTTTTGTCTCTATTTCCTGGCTGGGAAAACAGGTGTGAGGAAGTACACTGCGCAGGAGCCACATTTAACGTCTCCACCATCAACTGCGCGCTCTGCCCGGCAGTGATTCATAAAGCAGGCGCCCAGCCTCTCTGGGCTTCCATTTCCAATCTCTAAGGTATGCAGCAAGGCGAGAATGGAGAGAGAGGAGTGCACCTCAGCCTTAGCCACGGAGGGTGGCTGAAGTCTCTGAGGCAGGAGCAGGCGGGTCGGATTCCCATCAGGGTGTGGCTGTTCCTCTGACCCATTTCCCAGGCTGGCCTCTCCTTTCTCACCACCCAGCCAGAAACCTGCAGAGATGCTGGCCTCCAGGCCTGAACACCAATCAGCTCCTTTCCATGGCTCGAGGCACTTGGGGCTCCAGTTGGATAGGGCTCAGACTGATAAAGAAGTCACAGAGCCAACTCTGAGTGAATCACAAGACCCGATTCCGCCTACCAAGTATTGAGAGGTGGCCTCTGCCTGTGGCTCTGTAGGAAGAGCTGAGCCTCCTAAAGCTGCTCTGCTGGGGGAGGGGGTGTAGTCTGGAGACTGGAAATGGGCCTGTCATCCTCAAAGTCCTACTGTCCTCACTCTCACCCTCGCTCATAGGCTCACAGCCAGAATGGAGTGAATGAATGAATGAATGCACTCACACGCACACACTGCAGAGCAAGGAGCCATGTAGCCCCCCAGCCACCCACCCGCCTGCGTCTCTGGCCTTTTTATCACCAGCCCCCAGGATCTAATCTGGAAAGTTCTATCACACACCCATTATTTCACAAGGATGCTCACAGGCAGCCTGGGGTAAGGAGGGGAAAGGAGCTAGCCTCCCTCACAGAACGAAGTCACATCTAAGGAAAAACCTCTAGGGCAGCCAGGAGGGCCACGCCCAGGGGTGCATTGCCTGGCAGAATCACAGGACATCCTCAAAGCACTTGGATAGGCTTAACCACAGCTCACCTGTCAGGGGAAGGTGTCCCAGAACTCACCCGTCAGGCAGCCTCAGCTGGTTTACACAGGCTGTGGGCTTTGGGGATGAAAACTGTAAGCTGTCCCAGCTCTCCTGTGTTACAGCCAAGGCAGCCTGAGGGCCTCTGGGCCAGCAGTGGCAACATTGTAGATCGTCCTAGGGACTGCTGAAATGTTCCCCTCAAAGACGGGAAACCGAGGAGCAGAGCTGTGAAAACTCAGGCCCTGAATCATGTGACCTCAAATGGGAGCATCTGGCTGTGATGAACAGGGAGGGCCTTTAATTCATCCTCACAGCCAGCTGCCTGTGAAAAGCACCGATTATGATTCTCAATTAAAATGGGGGAGGGACGGCAGAGTCGATGGTTCAGCAGGTAAAGGCACTGGCTACACAAGCCTGATGACCAGAGTCCCATGCCTGGGTGGCACAGTGTGTGTGCGTGTACACACAAAATAACGAGAGCTGGGTTTAGTTGTCCGTGACTGTAATCCCAGCACCGGATGAGAGGGAAAAAGGAGTAGTAGTTCAAGGTCATCCTTGACTACATATTGCATTTGAGGCCAGCCTGGGCTACATGAGACCCCAATCTCAAAAGATAAAAATAGGGCCTGGAGATATAGCTCAGTGGTTAAGAGTACGTTCTACTCTTCCAGAGAGCCCAAATTTGCTTCTCAGCACTCACATTAGGTGCCTCACACCTTCTGTAACCAGCCCCCAAACACTATTAAAACTATTTAAATGATAGATAAATAAACAAACAAACAAAATAACCCGAAGATTGCAATACAGCTCAAGAGTAGAGCACAAGAGCCAGGTTTGATACCCAGCACCACAAACACAAAGCCCAAGAAAGGCATGCCAAGAGAGACCGACCAACGTATACAAAGACACACAGCCATGAGACAGGGGCTGAGCCGAGGTCACAGCCCTGGGGCAGCCGCACCAGCACTGTAGAACAGAGCGGGCAGAGTCAAAGCTATTTGGGAACCTCTTATTTCCTGCGGAAGACCCAGCTTCCTGCTGCTGATCTGACAGTGGCCCAGGGCCCCAGCATCTACTTCTGGTGGCTCCCCCATGGCTAGGAGCTCCTGGCCTCCGTCAGGCTGGGAGGGTGTACGCCTGGGAGTCTTAGTTATCTTCTAAGACTCAATAGAGACGGGGAACTGGTGCAGTCCCAGGCTCTGGCGCGTGACACTTATCACTAGCTGTACCCTCGACTCCCTACTCTTTTCCCTTCCTCCCCTAAGGCACTGTAGGATGGAAGCTTTGGCCAGAGCCAGAGATAAGCTGAGAGAGACAGAAACTGGGGGGTGGGCACGCCAGCACCTAGCAGGTAGCAGGGGTCTAGAAGCTTCTTTATCTGCATCTGGTGGGATTTTGGCTCTAGCCTAAGACACTCATGCAGGGTGTGGTCCTTGGATAAGGCCACTGACAAGCTTTCTGTGGGGACCTGAGGCTGGGGTCAGGAGTGCATTTGTGCCTCGGGTGTTCCATCCAGGCACCGCAGAGAGCTGGCTTCCCTAACCCTGTTCATGCAGCACATACGGGTGCTACGAGAGGCCCCAGGACGATGCACCGCCTCCCTCGCCCGGATCTGTCACTAAGGGTCGAATGCATTCAGAAGGGGTGGGGAGGGCAGGTCGCCTCGGCCCTGCGACCCCCTGGCCCAGGGTGTGCGCAGCGGCATCCTAAATCTGGCTCTCTGGGGGCCTGGGAACGAGTCCCGAAGGGAGGACCGGGTTGGGCCGCCGCTCACCTGCGCTCATTTCGGCTCCTCGCGCTCATCGCCGGCCGCTGCGGCCCGCGGCCTGGGCTCGGCGTGCGAGGCCCCGGGGCACGGTCGGGGGCGCCGGCTGCGGCGAGTTGCGGGTGGGGACCGGGCTCGGCGGCACCTGCACGACGCGACGGCGACTCGAACTGTGCCGCAGTTAGTCTGCGGCCGTCATGCCCCGCCCATCCGCGGCACCCACGTCCGCCGCCGCCGCGCGGGCCGCCGGGACTTGTAGTTCCCAGTCTGGCCTCCATCGGGAGCTCCCGATGCTGGGTGGAGGCGGGAGTAGGGGCATGGGGAGAGGGGAAAGAGGTAGGAAGCGGGGGGGGGGGGGGGGGGGGGGGAGACAAGCCCCAGACAGAACAGATGGACAGAAACGGACAGGCTGCGAGACAGGTAGACAGACAAACAGGCAGACGGAGGGGGCGCTGGGAGACACAGGTGGGACAAATCCTAGACATAACAAACAGAGAAACAAGACAAGCTGGGAGACCAGACAGGCAGGCAACAGACAAAGAGGCAGAGAGGTGACAGATGAGCAGACTGAGGGAGACGTTGGGACACCCAGTTGGGACAGCCCCCAGATAGAACAACCACAGAGGAAACAGGCAGACAGACAGACAAATAGGCAGGCAGAGTGGGAGGCTGGGAGACCCAGTCCGCAGTTAGAACAGACAAACAGAAAACCAATATGCTGGGAGACAGAATAGACAAAAAGACAGACAGGAAGACAGCCTGGCTGGGAAACAGAGGGGCATGCTGGGAGATAAAGGTACAATAGACAGATGAATGGAAAATGGACAAACAGAAGGTGAAAGTAGACAGAGGAAAACAGTCCACAAACACCCAGCCCTAGGTGCACACCACAGTAGTTAATTAAGTGTATTACGAATGCAGATTCAAGCCTGCCGATGTCTCTTCCAGGCTGTACCAGTTAACCTCCCTGGGTAACATTAATGTGGGGGAGGGGCACATGCATGTCCCTCTGTGGCGATGTGTGGAGATCAGAGCTCAGTTTTCCTCTTTCTCCCTGCGGATCTCAGGGATTGAGCTCAAGTCCTCAGGCTTGGCAGCAAATGCCTTTGCCCCCTGAGCCTCTGGGCTTGGACCTCTTTTTCTGGCCTGTGAAATGACAGATAGCAAATGCTTGCTTGTTGTAAGTACCCCATGAGAACACTCATCTAAAGCCCGTGACAGAGCCTGATACTACTACTGGATAAGTGTCAGGAGAGGAAGGTCACGCTTGCCAGAGACTCCATGGTCAGATATAGCCATAACGGTGCCTGCATAGAGGCTGGCTGTGATGATACACCGGAAGCCTTAGAAAAGCCAAAGGGATGGCAGGACCCAGCCCTGAAGCCTAGAAGCATGACCCCTGCACGGGAGGGATAAATGAAGACCCCGAAAAGCCTAGGAGACTTGCCTACAGCATTTATCACACTGTTCCATAGTGACAGTCACAGCCAAAGTGCCCCCTGGCCCTGGGGTTAATGACCTCTTGACAGAAGAGTTACAGAGGTAACGGTGTGTCAGAGACCTAGGGTAAGCCAGGGAAAGTTGGAGCCAGAGTAGTCCTTTCTGGGACCGCAGTATCAGCCACTTGTCGCTGTGAACTCATGGAGGGTCAGGGAGTTCTAGGAGCCAGAACAGCAGGCCGGGTCCAGTGGGAAGTACTGGACAGCAACACAAGGGCCCCCAAGCAAAACAACTGACTGCAGAAAGTGCTGGAAGGGTGCAGAGCTATGATGGGGGAGCTCTCTTTGTGGGGACAGTAGGAGCTTTGACAGTGCTATCTCCAGGAACATAGGCTGTATGGGAAAGTCTTGTTGACCAGATATGTGGGTGTGGAGATGTGAGACTCAGATGTGCCTACAGGTTTGTCTTGAGCAACTGGGGGACAGTAGAGCCATTTACTGAGCCGGGGCTGGCTGCTGGGTAGAGCAGGTTGGGGGGCATTCCTATTGGCCATGTGGGGCACAGGATTGGTTTTACAGGGTCAAACAAGACTTTATTAGTAGATGACGTTGCCAGTAGGAATCAGTTGTGTGATCTCTCAGATTCCATGTGTCTCTCCCCATCCCCATCCTCACCCCCATGCCTAGCAGGTGACCTTTCCAGGGAACCCAGACGCCTGAGTAGCCTGGGTGGTGGGGGTGTAGGTTTGGCCCTGGCTGGTGAAGTGTGATAAAGTGGCTGTCCCAAGAGAGCCCTGGAGCATTAGCTGCTGTCCAGCTGTGTGAACATTTCTATACTTTATTGAAACAAAAACTAGTTGTGTAATTTTGACTGGCCTTGGACTCCTAGAGATCTGCCTGCCTCTGTCTCTCAAAAACTGGGATAAAAGTAATTTTCCCCCTCGGAGCCTCGATGTTGAGATGGTAGGTGCATGGCAGAGTCTGGAAACATTTGTGAGACCCTCAAGCTGGGTTAGGCCTTGAAAGCTGAGGGGATGTGGGGACAAGTTGCTTGTCGTATTATCTGTACCATGAAAAGCCACTTGATACCACACAGGCTCCATCCTAAGCTATCTGTGGCAAAGCCAAGCTGGTGGCAGCTCAGCCCTTCTCCTCGGTGGGACAAGTGCCAGGGAATGCATCCTTTTAAACAGCGGAGGCTGTGGAAGGCCCTGCCCACCTGCCAGAGCCACCTGTGTCTCCAACACTGCCTGCGGCCTCACAGGCGGTCTGTGGGCAGGGCTCTCCCCCCAGATAACCACAGCTGAAGTTTCCAGTCACATGGGCCAGGCCTGATTCAGCAGCGTCCTCTCTGGGGTTATTGCTCTTCAGAGGCTCTCGTGGGGGATGTCCCATGCCTGATTCACATTGCAGAAAGCTGTGAAACCGTTGACTCTGGCAGTTTACCCCAGAGCACAGCCTTACTTCTCAATTTCTTCAGTTTTGATGCATTTGTACAACAAAGGTTTTTTTTTTCCAACTAATGACATCCCCTGAGCGAGACTATGGCTGTCTGAACACCCAGCAAAGTGGGGTTACTACAGCTGGTCTTATAGGGAAGGGCCTGGAGAGAAGCTGAACAAAGGAATCCCTGGGACATTCAGTAGCCACTGAAGGGGAGGAGGACATTCTCATCTAGCTTCCCATACAAAGACAGAAATTTGAAGCCAAGCCATGGTGCCTCAAGCCCAGTAATTCTAGCTCAGGAGGCTGAGGTGGGAGGATTGAGGCCAGCCTGGGCTACATAGCAAGATCCTGTTGCTCAGCTGGTACAGTGCTTGATCAGCATGCATGAAGCAGGCAATCTGATCACAAACAAGCCTGCTAAGACCAGGTGTGGTGGGACACAGCAGTGACCCTAAGGATGAATTCAAGGGCATTCTTGCCTACACAAGTGAGCTATGTAAGTCTGTCTCACAAAGTAAAAAACAAAATTCAAAGACAAAACTCTGAGGTTATCAATCCTGTGATCACAGGCTGAGCTCACAGGGTGCCATGTATGGCTCATACTAGGGGTACTTCAGACATGTCAGCGACACTGAGTTTATGGTGCGTTTGAGCTATGTAAATCACGAAGCCTTGGTGTTTATTCTTAGACCTCAGTCACATTCTGAATGCCACCCATTCCCACTTTACAGGGAGCAAAAGGGAGGCACAGATGGTCAACAATGGCCCAAACATCAGGTGAGAAGAGTTGGGTGGCCCAGTCCCAGGGAGACTTGAAGCCTTCCACAGTATTGTTTTGTAAATTCCATACGTGCACATACATAAGTCAAAATCCTGCTCAGGACTTAGTTTTATCAGAAAAGTCTTTGTAGCTGGACATCATCTCAGTGCTTGGAAAACTGGGGCTGGAGGATTGTGTGTTCAAGGACAGCCTGGTCTACAAAGCTCCAGAACAGCCAAGGCTACACAGAGAAACCCTGTCTTGAAAAACCAAAGGTGGGGGAAGGGGAGGGTAAAAAAAAAAAAAAAAGGGCCTAGAAAGATGATGGCTCAGCAGTTAAGAGCCTTTGCTGCTCTTGCAGAATACTGAGTTTGGTTCTCAGCACCTGAATTGGGCTGCACACAACCTCTTGCAATGCCAGCTCCAGGGGCTCTGGCTCCCTCTTCTGGCCTCCCCAGGCACAGGGCATGCATAAGCATGGGCAGACACATACACACCGTGTGTCAACGTGACGCACAAACTTTTATGTGAAAGGAGGGAACCTCAATTGAGGAAATGCCTCCAGACGACCTGGCTGTAAGGTCTCAAGATCCCCTGGCTCTTCCTCCTAAGAGTTCATACCTGGCAGCTTTCAGGTCCTAGAACTGAGTGGTGCTTCCCTCCATAAAGTAATTACGAGATGCTGAGTGGGAGTTCCTTTTGGATTGTGGCAGTCAATTTGGGGGTTATACATTCCTCCCTGTCTGTTGAATTATTTCAAAGTTACAGTTCTTGTAGAGTGACAGAGTGATGGAAAGTGGCTGCCTGGTGAACACCAGGTAATCACCTGGGGAACATCAGGTGATCACTTAAGTCAAGATTTTTCTCCCTGGCCTAGTCAGGTCAGGGAGAATCATCTGGTAGGTGTTATAGAACTTTGACGATGTGAATCCATTTTGACCTCTAGTCTGGTCTATTGGGGATCAGTGCAATGAGAGTGGGGACCTGGAACTTTTAACACAAGAAAATCTGTTAATCAGTGGTTTCCAATGCTGGGATGGGAAGTAATGCCACACACACACACACACACACCCCTACACTCACTGGATAGCATCCACTACTATCACCTATCATGGAGTAAGAAAGCTAACACACCTAGCTTGAAGGAAGTTTTAGATGGTCACACAATTTGAACACACACAGGAGAATGCAGGACAGGGGAAATTCAAAGGCCTTTCACTTTTCCTCCCTATTTTCTCCATAGACTGATCTCATTATGCAGCCCAGGCTGGCCTGGAACTTGCTATGTAGCCCAGGCTGGCTCAGAGCCTCCTGCCTCGGCTGATCTACCTCCCATCTACTGTGTACTGTTTGCCTAGCTTCACTACCTGTGTGGTAAGAAGCAGGGTGAGGGCAGCTGTGGTGGAGAACCCAGGTTTGCAGTGTGAAGCCTCTCCACCAGCTTGCAGCTGGTCAGGTTCACTGCTGTGTGCTGGAAGCTCAACCCCCCCCTCTGTGGCACGGGAAGACTGGCTGGTATGTGGTTCTAAAGACTGCAGGTGGCTTCTGTACACGGCTGCTAGATAATACTATTGAAACTGGGAGATGTCAGGTGAGAAGGTCGTTATGGGTCCTGCTTTACAGAAGAGCAAGGTGAACGCAATGCTGGGCACATGCCACAGCCCTGGCTGCCCTCGATCCTCACCAGGGCTCAGGTCTGGAGCCCTGTCCACCTCTTCAAGGACAAGGATTCCCTTGGTGCCTTCCCAAGTCCTTAGCAGCAAGCAAATGGTACAAGATTGTTTTTGCTAATAATGTAGAGTAACACCTACTTATTTCTTAAAATATTTATTATACATGCTGTATTCATGGAAAATCCAGGAGCCTGAAGGGACTCAAGTCAGAACTGACAGCCACATTCAGCATGGAGAGGGTTAGGCCAACACCCTCTTTTCCTTCTAGGTCAGCATCATCTTCTTGATTTCGGCAATCGCTTTCCCTGGATTCAGACCCTGGAGGAAAGAGAAGAGCGTCAGTACCAGGTGTGATGGAAGGAAACAAGGCAGCTGAGACCCTTCCGGGGGCGGGGGGGGGGGGCGATATGCAGATTCAAACTCTCAAAAGCCAACAAACTCAGAGAGGAAAGCCCTGCCCCAGGGTTCTGCTGCGCTGACTTCAGCAGGCAAACACACCCGTGGCAGGCAGCATTCTGACCCAGGGTGGTGTTTCTTCTAGGACCACAGACCAAGGTCAGTATTCAACAGAAACCTCTACTGCTGTCAGTAAATTGCCGACTGCAGAGACTATATTCTTTCTCTCTCTTTTTTAATATATAATTTATTTTTTATATTTATTGGTGTTTGGCCTGCACATATGTCTGTGTGTGGATGTTGAATCCCTTGGAACTGGAGTTTCAGTTAGCTATGACTTGCCCTGTGGGAACTGAACCTGGGTCCTCTGGAAAAGCAGCCTGTGCTTGTAACTGCTGAGCCTTCTCTCCAGCCCTGAAACTATATACTCTCAAACGCACGGGAAGAAACAACTCTGGGGAACACTTCCCATCTTCAGTCTGACTGGTCAATACCAGCAGCCCTGGCTAGAGAGCATGGCCCCATGAAAACATCTGTTTTCAGTACTGATAAGTACCCTAAGTGCAGGCTTGCAAAAGCTGGGCGGGAAATGTCAGGTACATAGCAAAATTAGAGTTATCTGAGGTTGGGGAAGGGCCCTCTCATGTTAGAGGAATAACCCAGAAATTAAAGTACTAAAGAAAGAAGGGGGGGTGGGGAGATGAAAATAACCTGAGAGGCAGAAGAGGCTCGTCACATTCCCAGTACAGAATGGTCTCCAAAGTACAGAGGTGAAAAGGTACAGAGAGGTGTGGCACAAGAAAGGCAGGACCTGTGTGCTACGCAGCTGGCCTAACAGCACAGAGCCACACCCTCCTGCACAGCCATAACCTGTCCGGACGTGGGTCTGAAAGACTTGCTGAGAGGCTGGCCCTTCTAGCAGAGGTCTCCAAGATGTTCTGAAAATCTCAGCTAAGTGTCACTGCTAAGCGGCTCCCCTCCAGCTTCCTATCTTGCTGCTCAGGGCCTGCCTCAAGGGCAGCCAGGGTCATACCTCATAGCTCTTCATGCCCAGCGGCCAAGGCTGATAGGTGCATGGTGGCACCAGATGAGAAGGCAACCAATGTACAGGAGTTCTCTCAGAAATGGGAGCTGGGCAGTGGTGGTGTACACTTGTAACCCCAGCACTCAGGAGGCCGAGGTGAGAGGATCTCCGTGAATTAAAGGCCAGACTGGACTACTGAGAGAGTTCCAGAAAAGCCAGAGCTATACAGAGAAACCCTGTCTGGAAAAGCCAAAAACCCAACCAACCAAATAAGACAAAACAAGAAAAGAAATGAGAAGAGAGGGTGAAGATGAGGGAGGCGGAAGCTCTGAGTCCCACAGCAGCTCTCCAGAGAAGAGAGACCTGTGGCACTGGCTGAAGCAGATTGGTGGCCAGAGCTGTGACATGAGCTGAGGGAGCCTGGCTCCCACAGCATTGTCTTCCAGTTCCTGAGCCATTCCAACTGAGACAACAGGCACTCCAGTCCCTGTCTGTCTCAGGTTGACCGTCCACTCCTGCCCGTACCTTGGGGCAGGCCTTTGTACAGTTCATGATGGTGTGGCATCGGTAGAGAGAGAAAGGGTCCTGTAGCTTGGCCAGGCGCTCCTCTTTGAACTCATCTCTGGAATCTACCATCCAGCGATAGGCCTGGGAAAGCAGGGCGGGTTAGCTGAGTCAGTGGCCTTGCCATTGCGCTGTAGTTCTTGCCCATCCTGCAGGAAGGATCCTAACCCTGTGTGTCCATGACTGCCATGAGCCTTTGATCCGCCTATGCTTGGTACCTCGGTGCTTAATGATATGGTACTGGGCATCAGCTCATTTCATGTTGTTCCAGGTTCTAATTAGTGAGGGTGGGCTGTGTGCTAAATGCTTTTTCCTCTAGTTACAGTACCTGCCTGTGCTAGAACCTGCAACTGATAAACAGATGCTTTGTTTGAGACAGGGTCTCACTGTATAGCCCTAACTGGCCTGAAACTCAGAGATCTGCCTGCCTCTGCCTCCTGAGTGCTAGATTTATAGGGATTCACTACCATGCCTGGGTTGCTTGTTTTTTAAGGCTAGGTCTAGCCCAGCCTGGCCTTGAATTTATAATCTTCCTGTCCCAACCTCCCAAATGCTAGGGATTACAGACATATTGGGCTACCATACCCATCATGGACAGTTCGTCTATTTTCTGTCAAACAACACATGCCCTGAGGTCAGCGACCTCACGACGGCTTACTACGGAGCCCTGGAACAGTTCCAGCCATGTCACTGAGCCCTGTGTGGTTTGCAACAACTTGGATCCCAGGGAACAAGCAGCATGTCCAGGCACACCTGAGCGCACACGGCAAGGGCCACACTCCTCTGTGGTCACACAGATATTAACGTTCTTTTTAATAAGAAACATGAAGTAGTCTTCTGAGTTGCTTAACACTTTCTGAAAAGCACTGACCACATAAGCAGCTTCCTGGGAATGGACAGGCTTTCTTTGCACTGAGCTGTGCACACCCAACAAAGACAAAATATTTTCTTTCTAAGCAGCTCTAGCCCAGCTTCCCACCTTTTGATGAGCAGCTGCCCCTCAAGATGCTCCTCCCACCTACACAGCCTACAGCCTGGAGATCCACTCACACCTGCTGTACAGTGGGTCCCTCCCCTTGGGGTGGCCCTCCCCACAGAAGGGCACAGCAAGGTGAGGCCCTCAGGTTTGCTGAGAGCCACACAAGCCCAATGCGCTGCATTTCCCCACTGCACGGTGTGGCGCCGGACACTCCTGCAGCAGGCCGCCGCCCTTGAGGACTTCTGGTCACTTGGGTTAGGGGCACCGACCTGCATGAGAACTGCAGGCCCCAGGTACTTGTCCCCATTCCACCAGTAGCTGGGGCAGCTGGTGCTGCAGCAGGCACACAGGATGCATTCATACAATCCGTCCTGTGTGGAGAGAGAGAAGTCTGACACCAGCACGTGGTGGAGGGCCAGCCTACCTGTGTGCTTTCTTGGTGAAATGCCAAGGGTGGTTTATGGCAGTATAACAGATTCCCCAAAAAAGATCTCGTAAAAAAATGCAGGCCTCTGCTGGATCACAGACCAGGGGCCTGAAGTCCAATAATACATGTAGACTGGATAATCAACAACACCTCACTGACTTAAAGGGCCACGAATGAGGAGTTCCCAACCATCGTGCAGTCTGCAGTGAGGGGCACCAAGGCTCCCAGGCAGTCTGTCCAGTGTCTGTCTAGCCGGGCAGTCCTCATGGGGCCAAAATAGAACCCTAAGCTGCCTTCCACATTTCACACACTGAACCTTGAACTCCAGGGAAGGAGGAGGGGTCAACTAGGGCACCTGAGCCCACGTGCTCCTGGCATCGTGTTTGTAGGCCTGTCGCACAGCCTCAAGACTTCTGTGCCTAACAAGTTGGGATTTCTGATTCTGGCAACAAGCAGCAAAGCAGGGGGGTGGGGGTCTGCTTGCACAGGGGCAGCCAAGGGAGAAAGCCCTGATGGAGGCAGATGGCTGGCCGCCTGTACTGGATTTGTGGGGAGAGAGCAGCAACAGTCATTATGCAACAGTAGCGGGATGACCAGAGCACATGTGGCATAAACCAGACGCAGAAGTGGCTCAGCAGCAAACTCATGCTCTGTACATAGGAGGTCTGAGATTACATCCCTAGATGCACACACACAAATGAATGCAAAAAAAAAAATGAAAAGTAATTCACTGTATTTTCAATTATTTGCTACACTGAGTGTCTTAATTTAAGAAATGCCATGCAAATGGCAGAACTCTGGGTCTGTGCAAGCTAGGCAAGACCTACCTCAGCATATAGCCCTGGCTTCATGCTGCTTTGTGTATATGTTCACATATACTTAGTGAGACTCTGCAGCCTGGGTTTGGCCTGGAATTTACTATACAGCTCAGGCTGACCTTGAACTCATGAGAATCCTCCAGGCTCAGACTCCCAAGTGCTAGGATTTTAGGCATGAATCACCATGCCTGGCTCCACGTAGGCATTTAAATGAGGAAAACGTTATTGCTAGGAATTTATGATCAGAGGCCTTCATTTCCTAATAAAGCCACCTCAAGCAATGCTCGCTGGCCATGAGGCACACATGCCTGGCCTGGACTGGAATGTGCAAGACTATGCTGGAAGTAGAGATGATGATGGTCACAGTGCCACCCTCATGAACACTCTCAGCTGTCAGATTCTCATGGACTTGAAGCATCACTAACTGACCGTTCCCATGATGATGGACCAGCGTGCTCTCTGTGACTTTAATGCTTTATGGGGAAGAAGCAGCTAGATGAAAGAATCCATTAAGCACTCACACACTGACACTGGTAACACATGCAGGGTCAGAGTCTGGGGGCACAGAGAGGAAGGAGGTAATTAAAGTGGGCTCTGTCCACCAGCAGAGTCAGTGTGCCTGCCAATCAGAGAGGGAAGGATCTGGAAAGTTGGATGCCGAATTCTCCACTCAAAGTTTCATAGCTCAGGATTTCATAGCTGGGGCTCGGCTGGCAGAGTGCTTATTGTATAAACACAAAACTGTGGGATGACTCCCCAGCAGTGCAGAAACCAGATGTGGCATGCGGGAGGTGGGGGCAGGCAGATAAGCCTGTGCTACAGCCCCATCTCAAAAGAAAAAAAAAAAAAAACTGGCCTAGACCCAAGAACAGCAACTCCAAGAAGCCAGTACCAAGCACAGAGTCAGACTGAGAACAGTTAGGAAGAGACAGCAAGGCTCTACTCCAGTCCTGCCCCCACCACCACACTGCCACAAACAGAACCCCAAGCTTCCCACTGCAGATAAGCGCTCTGCCATTGAGCTCCACCCACAGCCTGGCAACAGTTTTTCCGCTCGGGTCGGATACTCCCCAGTTTCTTTCAGAACACACTAAGTGTTCTGTGTCACCCTCCTGTTCCTGATTTCCAGAAAGCAACCCTGCAAACCATGACAGTAGGTTTAAGTAATGACCAGCTTCTCTCGGTCCTTGATGGACTGCAGATACTGCTGCTTGCCCTCCTGAGACTCGTCCTTCTTCTTCAGATAAGGCTCGATGGATTTGTACTGTGCATAGAAGTTATTCATATCCTGAGGGAAGGAGAGGGGGAAGGAGAAGGGAAAGGAAAGGGGGAGGGAGAGGGATCAGTTTTTGCCAGGGCCTTCAGCTTCCAGCATGCTATTATCTCACTTCACTGAGCATGTTCCCTCTAGGGGAACAAACAGAAACAAAACTCTCAGCGGCGGAGACAGGCAAAGGTTCTAGAAGGGACCATGTCAGTGTTAGCCACACAGCTGGGAAACCTTGTCCACACCAGCTGAAGACATGACAAGTGCAGTCCTTTCTCAAGCCAGGGAAGGTGCCCAGCCAGCAGAGGGAAACTCAGGGCACAGTCAAACTACAGTTGCTTTCCCACTCATCTTCCACATGAATTCTTTGCAGTTATGGCCAAATCCCCCCTTTCTGGGCTGTCCCTATTTCCAAACAAACCCACTAGCTGAGCCTCAGGGTCTCCAGGCATGTCACCTGTCCCTCAGACACTTCACTCACACTCCCCACACTGGTGTGGGCCTGGGAACGGGGTCTCCTAATGTCTCTGGGGATACTGTGGAATTCTCCTTGCCATAAACACAGGGACTGTCTGATCATTCTATCAGGTCCACCAAAGTAGCTTCGAACACCCGGACCTAGCCTGTTCCAAAGACCACATGGCAGGACACCGCCCCTGTAACAGACGGGAGAGCCACAGACTCACAGGGACTAGATCCTTCATCACATACATGTGTGGAAGAGGGTAAATTTTTGACACTTTGCTGAGGTTCATGTCGATCCTGCATGTGCAAGCCAGAGTGTTGTTTCCATTGATGTTCATGGCACAAGAGCCACAGATTCCTGCGAGAGATACCAGGTTACCTCAGGCTTAGTCCTTTCTTCATGGCCATGCTGACCCCCAGCAGTAGTTCCGCTAACACAGGATATGCCTTCTCTCCCTTCTCTTTCCTGCCTAGAACTCAAACTTGAGCCAGGCAAGCTACAGCCGCAGTCCCCCTAAGCCCCCCAGCCAGCTTCTTCATCTTTGTTTATCCCAGGTTTCAAGGCTAGTGAGCAGCTCATCTGGGCAGACAGCGGTACTGCTTCTGTGCTGACTTCTGGTTCCCATCCTACTTCATGTCCTTCCTTGCAGAGTCCTGCCACTCCGCAGGCCCCGCACCCACATGATACGTTCATAGACTCCTAACCACTTTATTATAAGGACACACAACAGCTCTGGTCACAAGCACCATGGCCAGAAATGCCAGCCACTCTTCAGGGCACCCTGTGATTTTGTCTTTTGAGTTTGTTTTTTTTTTAAATCATTATTAAACCGATTTTTACTTAAAATCATATTTTAAAACATTTTACCTTTGTTGTATTATCACTAGCAATTACTTTTCTTCTTTTCCGATTTTAAAAAATATTTTATTTATTATTTATACAGTATTCTGCATGTGTGTGTGCCTGCATGCCAGAAGAGGGCACCAGATCTCAGTATAGCTACCATGTGCATGCTGGGAACTGAACTCAGGACCTTTAGAAGTATATAGCTAGTGCTCTTAACCTCTGAGCCATCTCTCCAGCCCTGATTTTGTTTTTTGAGACTGGGTTTCTCTGTGTAGCCTTGGTTGTCCTGGAGTTCACTCTGTAGACCAGGCTGGCCTCAAACTCACAGAGATCAGCCTGCCTCTGACTCCTAAGTGCTAGGTTAAAGGTGTGCCTCACACAGCCTGGCTTTTCATTCTCTTTTTTGAGACAGGGTTTCACTATGTAGCTTAGAACTCGCAATGTAGACTGGGCTGGCCTTAAGTCTCACAATGATTTGCTTGCCTCTGCCACCCCAGTGCTCCACACCCTCAGCTACATACTTTCAGATACACAGAACAAATCCTATCTGTTGGAGTAGGAAGCTGTCTTCTCACTATCTCAACAGCTCAGCATGAGCACACCACCCCGTGACAAGCCAAGTCTGGGGAAGCCTTAGCCAGAAACTCCCATATCTTGCTAAACAAAGAGCTCACGCTGCAAATGCCAGTGAGCCTGTCCTCACTGGTGCTGGCAAGCTCATGGTGGCTGACAGGAACCATGATTTACAGGAACTTCCAGACAAGCTCCTAAGGGGAAATCAGACCTTGCATCACAGTTCAAACTGTGGAAGTCATATCCCATGAAAATGCTGATGTACAGCAAGGTGTGGAGATCAGAGGGGTCCTGTGTGGATGTGTGCTGTCAACATGGGCATGGCTGTGACAAGGACTGCAATGCCTTAGATGTGTGGAAATGGCAAGGTGAGGCTCAGAGGGATGGCCAAGCCTTCCTTTGGTTTGAATGAGTGTTTATAAATGACTGACCAGCGTAACAACCACAGCTTCCTCTTCTCCAATGACCATGACCTAAGACTGCTCCTCTACAGAGACCTCCTACCCACATTAGCTAACCTCACCCCTGTGCTATACCTAACAAACACGCTGAGGCTCTAGGTTGTGTAGCTGTAGCTGGTGCCCTCCATCAGAGCAAGCACAGCATACCTGGTCCAAGCTTTCATCTACGTGTCTGTGCATCTACCCTTTCGCCGTGTCCTTGTTGCCCAAGTCAGGGCAATCCCTAAAGCTGTACTAGTCACAGCAGCAAGGTCACCTAGCAGTGCTGCAGCTGCTCTCCACAGTCCCCATCAGTGGCAGCCATACCTCTCTGGAGTCAGAACCCCAGTCAAGGTCTAGTGATAATGAAAGCCATGCTTACCTTCTCTACATGATCTTCGGAAAGTCAGAGTGGAATCAATTTCATTCTTAATTTTGATTAAAGCATCCAACACCATAGATCCACACCTGCCAGGGAAAAGAACTCAGCTGCATTTTAAGGTCAGCATCCTTGCTTCACTCCTGTACAATGGTCAGGACACCTGGATGCATGACCCATTTAGCCTCTCATCAGCACCAGAGTTTTATTTTTTCACTTGCTCAAGGGTTTAACTGTTGCATAGTTTTACTTCTTTATTCTTTCTCTCTCTCTCTTTCAGGTAGGGTTTCTCTGTGTAGCCCTAGCTGTTCTGGAACTCACTCTGTAGATCAGACTGGCCTTGAACTCATGGAGATCTGCTTGCCTCTCTCTCCCAAGTGCTGGCACTAAAGGTATGCACTACCATGCCCAACTTTGCTTTGTTATTCCCCCCCCTTTTTTAAATACTGAGGCTTGAACCCAGGTGGCCTTACATAAGCCTGGCAAATGCTAAGCTCTAAGCACCACTGAGCTGTACCTCCAGCCTCCTTCCCACCTTCTTAAGGGAAAATCTTAGACGACTGGTTTTAAGCCTTTTCTTTTTGTGATCCAGGCTAATCTCAAACTGGAGATTGTCCAAACAAACAAAAAACCCCTCAAACCATAAACGCCTGATCTATGAATTCCCCTGGCAGCCTCCAGGTGGAGCATCTGCTGCCTCTCAGGTGCTGCACGGTTCTCATCAGCACTTAGTTCAGGTCAGTTCCTATTTTCCCTGGGGTTTCTGCATCGATGTGGAATTTACTACGACTCTTCACGTTTTCTCTCTCTTTCTTTCCTTTCTTTCCCTTCTTTCCTTCTTTTCTTTCTTTCTTTCTTTCTTTCTTTCTTTCTTTCTTTCTTTCTTT